AGGCCTGAAGGCCATTTGTCTGAGAATTTTCTTATCTTTCCATGCGCATGTCCAGAGTGAACCTCAAAATAGGTCACGATCGGATTCTTCTAAATTACCTTATTACCATTAGAGATAATTTCCCATTTCATTCAAGCATACATAGTCGATGGACAAGACACAGCATCGTTTTGAATAAATAAATGGTATTGTCACGTGTATGAGTGACCATAGACGGGATCTGAGTTCGTAATTGGAGTTACCGAACACTCACAGAACGTAACTACAAGTAACTATAGCGCTATCGCTAAATTACACACTCTGCAACTCGCTACAGCACGCACTAAGACTTTTCAGTCTGTTATATCTTCACCGGTTGACGCCTGGTAACGGCTTCCAACGCTCTAGCTTCCTCAGCTTCGGCGTTCACGTCCTTACTGGCTTGTGACTCTCTCACAACTCATTCTTACTCTTCTAACTGCCGTCTTAAGATTAACTAAATTCGACTCCACTAAACCGATTCAACTCGGTCGGTAGAGTGGCATAGCCTCGGAGCGGACCAAGCAGAAAACACCGTTCCTCTGTTGATGTGGGTGGGGCGGTACCGCGTGTTCCATTGTAGCGGCACTGCCCGCCTGGTGCCGGGCCGGGTGGCAACGCCGCTTCCCGCAACTCTCTAATTGTTGCGTGACGTCATCGCAGACGTGTCGTGTTCTTCTGTTGAATGTGCAATGATTGTTTCGCTTATAAGTTGTTTACTGTGTCGTAACATAGTAACGGCTCTCTACATGGTGCAGTATAAAAGGGTATGTATGATAAAACTTAGAACATAAATGGAACATATATACCAACAAACGTGGTGCTAGTGGAAAAGAAAATATAAACAATTTTAAATAGCTGAGTATATATGTCTGTCCGTCCGTCCCTTGTTTCAAAATACTTTCACTTTTTCGTCACGAGAAAATTAACGGGTACTGGTGGCAAGTTTTCTTACGCTGTCTACATTATTTTCAACTATATATTCGTAAATAGGTAGAGGCCTTGCGACGAGCTGATCACTCGCCCAGGGAGTCCTACCGTACTCGTATGTGTAAGATCTAGTAAACCGAAGTGAAACGGAGAGTTTCATGGAGGTAGGCCTAGGCCCAAATTGGGGCTGTAGCGCCACAGGGAAAAAATATACTCGTAAATAGAGCAGAATTTCTGCAACCCTAACTAACTACATGGGCTTGAGTCCTTCTTTGGAAGTCCTAAGTGCTCAGCTACTCAAGAATTTCTTAATGTAGTATTACGAGACCCAGAAATTCATTACCGTGTTCTCAACCGCCTCCGCTGGTCCCCATCCTAAGCCAGAGTAATCCAACCCATACCACCCATCCTATTTTTAAGATCCTTTTTAATATTATCCTCATCTACGTCTACATCTTTCTAATTATTTTTTCCTTCTGATTTGCCCACGAAAATCGTGTATATGCATTCCTTTTCTCACGGCACGTGCTACATGTCCTGTACATCTCACTCTCCTTGACTTCATCATTCTAATTATTACAAATTAAGGATCTCCTCATTATGCAGTTTTCTCCAGCCTCCTATTATTTCATTCCTCTTCGGCCCACATATAAGTATTCTTTTAAGCACCCTGTTCTTGTATGTTCTGAGTCTATGTTCCCTTAATGTCAGAATAATTTCACACTACACAAAACTGCGGAAAAAATTATACGTATATATACCCTGTAACTCTGACTGATCAGATTACTGGCATCGATATAACAGACACTAATCGATTCTGGAGAAACTCTATCCGTTATTTGTTGTTCCTATTGTCATGAAATACTAGCATTGCGACCGTGCGAATTTATGAACTGGAAATGACACTGTCGCTATTGAAAACACAATACTATACGTATTTGTAATCAGTGGAGAAATTGTCTATATGGCAACAAGCATTTGAAAACTACATGACGTAATGAAAGTAACCCCGGAAAAGTGAAAAGAGCTGCGTGGGGAATGAGTGAATTATTTTGGTTTAATAAAACAACCGAGTAGTCATTGTAAACTTGGGTGCAAAATATACAAGTCGGGGCAATATAAACACGTTTCCGTGCAGTACAACTGGTGCTGAAAACTGTCAGTTTTATGCTTCGGAACCGTCTGATGATATTCTTGAATCCTTGGAAACGTAGCCCCAGTAAGTTGCGGGATCAGAGGCTTAGTGCGTAACGTAACAGTGGAAGATGTATCACACATAACTAGGAACTGAAATTGTGAGGGAAAAAAAATTATTACAAAATCTTAATAGGTTTTAATATTGCATACATAATTTTGTTTCTATCAAATCTGAGCCAATAATTACTGCTCTGTAAATGCCAAAATTTGTTACGTTATATAATGCTTCCTCTTTTTACATATTAGCTAAGTTTATGACCATAACTTTCTTGAGCCTATAATTATTTCATAATTACTTCACGAATCATAACCAATTAACTGATTTTCCGATGCTAGAATAAAAATATTCCAAATAGTAAAACTTGGAGAAGAATGCACAGGAAACAATGATAACAATCTATTGATTATTATAGTGGTGCTAGTGACACAACAATAATAATAATAATAATAATAATAATAATAATTATACAGGTATATTTCATGCAGTCGTCATTAGTTCTTAAGAAATTAAAATTGTAACGATTTCATTTGGCACAAAATGGCTTCTGTCCATCTTCAATCGGTTTATCCGTTCCAATTATTTTTGTATTTTCTTGATTTTTCTCTGCTGCACGTAAACTAACCTCTTATTTCCGTATCTGATACTTTGTTATTTATACTGGAAACTCTTTAATTTTATCAAATATTAGGGATTTTCTTAGATCTTTTTTTTACGTTTTATAGGTATCGAATTTCACCAGCTTTCCATAGAGCCTGATCTTTGACTTTTACACTGTAAGTTTCACCCTGCATACGTTAAATTCTACTGCTAACAAGGTAAGGTAAGGTAAGGTAAAGTTGTCCCTATGCTTAGCTAACTCCATGAAGATGTATGGGGTGTGCGTGTATAGAACCACATTTTTCTTGACCTCGACGCTAGTTGAAGGTGAGTGGTCAGCTTCACGCTCCGGTCGCTTTATCTCCGGGAAAAGAGCCCCCGGTACCCATTGGAGAGGAAGGTAGTTGGACCCCAGAGTCGGTCTGGATGACGTAGAGAAGAGAAAATTATTGACTCTACTGGGACTCCAACTCCGACCCCTTGATCGTCCAGCATGTAGTCAGTCGTCATGCTGACTGCGCTATCCCCTCTCCTATACTATGTTCTTATAAATTTTTAATAATATATTCTCTCTTACTGTATTACTCAATTTGAATCATTATCATAATTAAACCTTCCTCTTCTGTATTTCAAATCGTCTTTGTTGTACAGTACAGTTCATTTTATGAATTTAAATTTGGTTGGACTTGTTCGACTTAGTTTCATTCTAAATTTATTTACGTGTAAAAGGAACTTTCCTCTATGTCTAAAATTTTCAAGTTAAATTTTATTTCATAATTTATAGATTTCGTATAAAAGTTACCCAAAAATATCCTCGATAACAACACAAACGATAATAAGTATAGTGTCAAATACAAAAAAAAAATGTTAAGAAATACTCACACTGAATATTACCTGAAATATCTATAATCATTAAGCTATTCACAAGGCTCCTACTTTCTGCTGCAAATGTTCATTGTCAACATAAACATCTATCGTTAGTCTCTGATCAACCAATTAATCCCTGTTCACATCATAATAATCCAGCCTAAGATATTTATTTTAATATTATCATCCTGTTTGTGATTCTGTCTGACAAATGTTTCCATGGAGATTTTATTCTCGAAAATTATATTCGTTGTTTCCACAGTAAGTAATTAATTTCAATTCTATTCTTTTGTATGTGCTTGCCCAAAGCGAGTGGCTTATAAGAGGAGGGCATTGAAAGTGTACATAAAAAGTGTAATAACAACAATACTAACAATATAATTAACATTATTCAAAGTAGTAATATTTTATTAATTTCTTTTCAAAAAGCAAAAAAAAAATCTTTGTTAATTCTGTTAATGATCTCAGAAATATGAGGCTATTAGTAAACTCTCTTCATTAAAGGTGAAGTCATTTCTAGTAAGCGTTCGCTTGTAAAATTGTAAACGATAAACTGTAATATCATATTCCTTTGTTTACGTTGACGTTTTTAATTGTCGTTATATTTATCGCACAGAAGTTCAATATGAAGATGCAGAATCCAGATATAAGTAGAGCTCTACAAATTATCTTTATAACAATAAAATTATGTTCCACAAATAGCGGGAAATTTATAGATTAACGATTATTATCTTGTGAAGAAACCCCCGCTGCACGGAACTACTCGCATTTTTATGATGATCTTGATCATACTGAAAAACACTCCGCCACAAATGTCAAATTCGATAAATCATTCCCTTATTAAGAAATCGGTAAACCTGACATAGACCTTCAAACGAAAATAAGCCCATACAACATGATACCAGAACAGATCTAAGGTTTACAATAAAATAATAAATTCTAGAAAACTTTTATGGTGTCCATTTTGCTGCATATTCCACAACACATATTGTATAGCTACTGATAACAATAAAATGACAATTGCATGGCTTTGTGCTTAATTTCTGAATATCGTATCTTCTACTAAAAACTTCGTCTACGTTAAATCTCTAAGTTACGTCCTCAGAACATCGCAAGCATTCACACAAACAGACATTACGTTTCTATAATACATCGTTAGAAATTTCGAGAAATGATCGAAGAATAATTTAGTATTTCGCCATTTAAAAGGACTAAGAAACAATTAAGTAACTACTTTCACTTTATACAGGTAAACATTTTCCTTCTCTGCTCTCTAGCAAAAAAAAAATAATATATTTATAATTTCTCTCGAGAAAAGAGAGCGGAGACACATTACATTACATTAATCTCAATAAAACTTAATCTACTATTCGAAGTAAGTATGTAGTACCTGTAATAAGAGTTTATTAAGATATTGAAGGTTAATTAGCTCCACTGTCTGTAGGTGGACAAGTTACCCATTCTCCTCCCTTCGCCAGTGAGCACTGTCGCGGACGGGGAACGCGAAGAGCGTGAAAACAGACCGGCGCCTGCTTACAGGAAGTCGGTCAGGACGCTACTGCCAGGTGTAGCGTCGCGATGCACTCAGAGAGCGAGACGGCGCCACGGCGCATACTCCGTCATGTTACAATGTCAGTTAAACAAGTCTGCAAAGGACAGGTTTATAGAGTAGAACAAGACATGCCGTTATCGAGCTATATAAACCTTGGAAAGCAAAATAACAAATAGAGGTATCAATCGACTTTATAAGACCCGTGTAACGTTCAGCAGATACACTGAGGGATCATAAGAACAAAAGGAAAAGAAAAATAATAGGAGGCAAACAGAAGTCATAGGGAACCACGACGATTATCAGGACACGCAAAGACAGACAAATGCCATTCAGCCGATAAATGAAGGATCATAAAGTAGTAATTTTTACTTTATGCAAAATATTTTCTGAATCCTCCGTCATGTTAATTCCAGATAGGTAAGAAGGGTAAAGGCCGGTCACGGTAGCCGAGCGGTCTAAGGCATGCACTGTCTTCGCTAGGTCGGAATCCGCGATCTTATATTCGAATCCCACTCAGGGCATGGATGTTTGGTGTGTGTGTGTGTGTGTGTGTGTCGTGTTTTCTGTTTTTGTGTACAGGTAGATGCCTTGTGATGAGTCGATCTAAGATCTAGTAAACCAAGCAAAAACGGAGAGTTTCATGGAGGTAGACCAAGGCCAAAACTGGGGCTGTAACGCCAACGGAAAGAAAAAGAAAGGGTAAAGTAATGAAAAACTTATGAAACGAAGACGTATCTGGGAGTGGATATATATATAGAGCCAAGCTCTCTTGACCTCGGCACTAGCTAGTGAGTGGTCATCTTCAGGCCCCGGTCGCTTTACCCCCGGGGAAGAGCCCCTTGTAACCATTAGATAGAAGGAATGGTTGGCCCCCAGAGTCAGTCTGGACGACGTGGAGAAGACAAAATTCTTGATCCTACTGGGACTCTTTATCTCCCGCCCCTCGGTCGTCCAGCCCGTAGCTAGTAGCTATACCGACTGAGCCATCCCGGCTCTCCCTAGGTAAGTAACCATTCTTAAGTTTATTTACACCTCTACAGAAGACTTTCATTTATACTTTTTTATATATTTAAGTTCAATGATTTTATCTTTCAGATATCTCTTCATTGTTCTTGTGATGTCTGCTAGTGCCATATCTGACAGTGTTCAGGTCATCTCTGTTCATTTGGCCCGGATTCTGCAGCCACTGCAATTTAGTCTCCTTATTCTGATCTAAAAACTTTGGGCAATCCTGAACAGTTCTATCTTCTGGGGTATGAATGTATAAGGGGTGGGCCTTCTTGGCCCTGGCACCGCGACCACAGTGATTTACTGTGCCTATCTTCTGGGGTAAAACACCGCTTAGGCCTTTCAAAGTCAAGTGAAGTTTCAGAACAACTTGTCGCTTCCATCTTCAGGGTCGAGGAATATTCCAAAAGATAAAACTTCGTGAACAAAGTTGTGACAGCCTCAGATCCTGCATTCAGGCAGTCTTCCTCAAACTTGGGTTTATGTTTTAGTAACTCCTAATTATCTAGAATGTCTTAAACTGGTATTTCGATACTCTGGGCTTTAGAAAGATGAATCTCTTGTTTAAAATTCGTTGTATACCTACAAATTTGGGGCACGCGGTAACGCAGTCGGTTGAGGCACTACCAGCCGGAAGGTCGCGGGATATAATCCCGATGAGGTCATTGGATTTTTTTCAATTTACCTAATCCTTACAGGTGCACTATGGCCGTGGGGTGGACTTAGCCTCTAACAGAAATGAGTACCAGAAATATTCTTGGAATGTTCTTGGGGGTAAAGGGCGGCCGGCGCGTAGGACTGACAACCTTACCGCCATCTATGAGCCGATTGTCTAGAAAATGTGGGAACCTCAACAGCTCACAACCCTATGGGCCTCCACGGCCCGTTACAGGGATACATTTACTTTTCTTTTATATACCTACAAATTATTCGAAGTAAATGAAAATATTTTATATATGGTGTTTTCTCAAATACGTACTAACTTACTTACTTACTTACTTACTTACTCATGGAGCTGAGCCCTTCTGGAGGAGCCGCTAATTCTGTAGCTACTCAAGAATTTCCCAGCATTTTATGGAACCCGAAGGTTCATTACCGTGTTCACAAGAGCCCTCCACTGCTCCCTATCCTGAGCCACATCAATCCAGTCCACACCATCCCATCCTATCTCTCTAAGATCCATTTTAATATTGTCCACCCACCTACGCCTTGGTCTTCCCAGTGGTCTCTTTCCTTCTGGCTTTCCCACCAATATCCTATACGCATTCCTCGTCTCCCCCATTCGTGCTACATGACCTGCCCACCTCATCCTCCTTGACTTGATAATTCTAATTATGCTTGGAGAAGAGTACAAGTTATGAAGCTCCTCATTATGCAGTTTTCTCCAGCCTCCTGTCACTTCATCTCTCTTCGGTCCAAATATTCTCCTCAACACCCTGTTCTCAACGAGAGAAAAGAAACCACGCCTACGATGCATGGGACACCACAGAGCAGCTGGAGGCTGATGCGTTGACGAGTGGGACACACGCCTTAGGTAAAGAAAAGGAACCCTAGCGTACATGCGTTGAAAGAAAGCCGACAGAAGTGCCACCGCACGTCGAAACAAATGTGTAATATTCAGCCGGTAAACAAATAGTCAACAAGTGGAAGATGTAGACAGAAAATGAGGAGAACAGGAGGTACACATCACATGAATGTCGCAAGATATTGTTACGGGTCTCCCAAACATAGAAGAAGTGTTTCTTGTCCAAAAGGATGGCTGCATGGAGCTGAGGAGAGGCTTGTGGTCTGTAACAGAATGAAGAGACTGTGGAACAGAACATACGATGACGTTATGTTAAGTCCGAAAAAGACTTACCGTCAGTCAGTCCGTATTGACACCAAGCCCCTTGAGGATCATGACCAGAGATTTTTTCAACTGAATCCTTACGGTCATTGTCCTTACGTAACATCTCTGACAAGAGGATGGACTTGTCTCTCCAGACGTGTCCTGCTTATAATACCTTGGCATGGATCGCGTAGAAAACATTGCTTCCCATTATTGTTATACGTGGAAAGTTTGTTTCCGAAGCCGTTGCTCAGTGACGGCCGGCTGTCTCTGTTGGCTTCACAGTTCTTACTGTGGGCAAATACGCCGAAATATTATCACATTTTCGGTCATTAAGTTAAGGGCTTCATCTCTGGTCTGGCACTTCGATGGTTACAGATTACGGAAGTTGGTATAAATTTAAAATTCGGTAGTACTTGATACAAGAGCTTATAGAGCTTTGAAAATTTGAAGAGGCTCATCTGCCCACTGTACTCGCAAATAAAATAAAATGGGAAGAAATGGCCGAACACTACAGGCGGGTTCCTTCTGGTATCTAGCTACTGTAATTCCAAAATTTCTGCATCTTGAATCCTATCGGCCATTTTGTCAAAAAAAGATCTGAGTTTCGCCGTAGCTAGAACGAAATTTCTCTTCCCCAGAGTAGTGTGATTTTACAATTATGTAGCTCTTCAGTTCAGTGTCATATTAATAACTGAATTTCTAATTTCCCTGACCTCAGATCCAACGAAATCGACCGTCGTGTCATAGCAGCGGGACTCGCAACACCTGGTGAGATACTGTCAACATGTGTAAAGCTTCCTGGTCCCACAGTGACACGCACCACCTGGTGAGACCTGACAACATGCGTAAAGCTTACTGGTCCCCCATTAGAGGATTTCACTGTATAAGTCATCTGGGTCGTGCCGCTGCATACGCACCAACAATACAACATAAGCTTACGGGTTTGCAGACCAGGTAATCATGACTAGTAGACTAAGGCTAGTAGTTAGGGCCGCGCCATAGCTCAAGGGGTTAGTCGCTGGCTTCCCACCGCGGCGACCCGGGTTCGATCCCGGGTCTGGTAAAGTGGAATTTGTGGTGGACAAAGTGGCGCTGGGACAGGTTTTCTCCGAGTACTTCGGTTTCCCCTGCCAGTCTTCATTCCACCAATTGCTCCACAATCACCCTCACCTATCATCTGGGGCCAGTACAATAGGCCAGAAATGGCCACAGTACAAGGGACTTAGTCCCACCCCGCTAGCAAATAAAAAGCTAGTAGTTAGTAGGCGTTCTTTGCGCTTATAAGAGCGTAGAACATTACGAGAGGTAGAATACCTCCACCGTAACCCTGCGAGTCCTAGGAGACGACGAAAAGGGAACCTAGTGCCTGGGAGTATAACTGGGTCGCCTTGTTTCTGTGGGACACAAATACGGGGACCTGGTCCTACAAGCTGTGGGATCTCGAATTTGACACACTAAAATGTGGTCACGAATCTCGCCGGACTCGGAACTGAAAATGAGTAAACTGGCGAGGACCTGCAGAAAATCTAAACTACAGATACATCCTCTCGTCAGAGATGATGTTACATAAGGGAAAGGAAGTATTCAGTCGAAAAAAAAATGCAGGTCGTGAGTCTCAAGGAGTTTGTGGGCAAGACGAACCGATTGGCGGTAAACCTTCTGACACTGATTCTGAGGGGTGTTAAATTTATCTGCATGTATGCCCATGACAAGATGGTCATTTAAGTTCTTTCTTCTTCGTCTCTTCATCGGTCCTAATTTTTATTTATTTCGTTTTTTGCATTCTACATCCTTCCCTCCGTAATATCCTTTTTAATTCCTCTTTCCTCCGTTTTAGCCTACTTTCCTTCCTTAAATAAAAAGTCTTATACTATAATCATGCTGTCTGTGTGCTTCTCCAATTTGTAATTTGAATCAGGTTATCGATATTCATGAAAATTGGAATGAACGTCAGGCCTCCCAAACCTCATTTTATAATTTCCCAAGGATATTCATAAAAACATTGCGAACTCACGAACTTGTGAGGTGGGAGAAACGCAAGAGATATACATCATTTCAGATGTTTGCTAATAGATCTTCAGGAAATGCATGATTTCCAAGGAACTTTTCCGTAAAACGTAAAATAATAACA